TTATTAAATTTTAAAATAATATCAATTTAATTGTCTATAACTTGGAAGTTTGTCCCGACCTCCCAAGGCAAGCTTCGATTAAGTCAGGACTCGCACAGCGGGGGAGCATTAAACCCACACCAAGTAACTGATTAGGCATCCTTGAGGTCCAACCTCCTAACCAACAGTGCTTCGCCTAGGAGATTGGTCCAATGGGAGAATTGAACTTGTGACCTTGGGGCTTAAACCCCAAGGCCTTACCACAATGCCACGACCCCTTGTGTTATATAATTATTTTACACTTCCCAAACAACCCTTGGGACAATAATTGTGACTATATGAACTGGAAAAAGAATGATGGGGTTGTTTGGGGTATCCTAAATAAGTGTACTTTTTGTCTTTTTAGACTAAAAAGTTGAGGAAAAAAATATGGATGTTTAGGTTAACTTTTTAATTTTTTATGAAAAAACATATATTAAAAAATTGTATAAAGAAATGTGTAAGAGAAGATTAGAAATGTGTGTTGGCAGCCGTACAATCTGAGGGGTTGAATTGATGGTAAGAAATTATTGGCTGCTCTTCGGGCATTGCACTGAACTGTTTTGTTCAACCCGTGGGGCCCATCATGGGTCTGATTTTGATAATCTGAACCGTCAATGTGTAAAACTCGTCGTGTACTATATGCCTATAAAAAATCACGTTGATCGGATATCGATAACTATCTGATCAGATTTATTTATTTTTCAATCGTTAATTATAACACCATCCATTTTTTTATACAAAACTGATTTGATCATGTAGTTATAGATATCCGATCAACGTGATTTTTTATAGCCATATAGTACTCGATGAGTTCTACACATTTAACGATTCAGATTATCAAAATGGAACCTGTGATGGGCCTTCACTGGCCGAACAGCAATATGTGAAAATTGCACCGAAACTGTGAAATTTTTCTTAAAGAACGCTGCACAGTGCTGAACAATCTGCATAGCTGAGTTGTACTTTATTTATGGAAAATTAAATTTTTAATATTTTTTTAGTGAATAGTGATAATTTTTTAATTTTTTAAATAATTTTTTGATTTTTTATCTTTTTGAGGAGATGCCAAACTTGAAATTGGGGGTAAATGAAGGTCCGGAAGGATGAGAGTGGGATTAGTTTAAGATTTGTAAGGGAGACAGAAAGGAAAATGTCATAGACAAATGAGGGGCTTTATATATTTATTTCATTAATTTGTAATTATTTTATAATTTTTTTCCTTTTTTATCTCTTATAATATGTTTTTTTGATTTTTTTAATAATTTTTTTTTATTCTTCTCACCAACGCACTCAGCACAGCACTTCTTGAAAGAAATAAAATTTAGATATTAAAGGATTTTCTTTTTCTTATCACGTTTCTTCATTTCTCACACCATCCGATTCTCACTTCATCTTCTATTATACAAATGCATTCAAATAAATTATGAGTTAAAAATGATTTGTTGATAGCATTTTTGATATCCAACCCTTCAATCTAAAAGGATATTTTGAGAAGTGGGTTATAATTCACTTCTCAGATTATAAGCTATTTCATTCTTTTACAAAAAGCAACTCATAAGCAGCTTATAATCAGTTTTTAATCAAAAAGTTGATCATAACTATCTTTCCAAAATGGTCTTAATTAGACTGTTAATTAAATAAATATATATGCATATATATATATATATATATTTGTTACAGGAAAATTCTTTCTACTCTCCCGCAGATCCAAGGCAGCGCCCCTTGCAGAAATCACCAGTGTGTCCTGTTAGCCGCTTATAATCAGTTTTTAATCAAAAAGTTGATCATAACTATCTTTCCAAAATGGTCTTAATTAGACTGTTAATTAAATAAATATATATGCATATATATATATATATATATTTGTTACAGGAAAATTCTTTCTACTCTTCCGCAGATCCAAGGCAGCGCCCCTTGCAGAGATCACCAGGGTGTCCTGTTAGCCGTTTCGAGCGAGGAGACTATAATTTGGGAACTTACCCCGACCTCCCAAGATGCAGGTACAAAGCAGCGCCCCTTGCAGAGATCACCAGGGTGTCCTGTTAGCCGTTCCGAGCGAAGAGACTATAACTTGGCAATTTGCCCCGACCTCCCAAGATAAATTTCGCTTAAATCAAGACTCGTACAGCGAGAGGGCATTGAACCCACGCCAAGTGCTGATTAGACAACTTAAGATCCAACCTTTTAACCAACTATGTTTCGCCCACACAAATTGACCCAAAAAAGAGAGAAATTAAACATGTGACTTTAAAATTTAAATTTCAAATTTTAACCATAATGTCACTCACCCTGAATTTATATGTATATATTTATTAAGCAGTATAAGTAGATAACACTAAACATATGCAACCAAAGGACACGTCTAATCATGTCAAGAGATTTGAGTGGATGCTCATCAATCTTTGTTCTTGTAGCAAAACAATGCATTCAAAAAGTACCCACAACAACAATGTGCATGGTTTCTACCCGATGCAATTAATGGAGGTGGACCACTAGAACAATTTGAAGCCCCACGTACACAGAAATATTACGAAAATTTGGTTTGTACTTAGAGATGTAATTTTTTTTTTTTTAAAAAAGTTGAAAATTTATCTAGTTAAAAATTTTTGAAAAAAAAGTTAATTTTTTTTTATTACATATCAATCAATTTTTTTTTTCTCTGTCTTCTCTCTTTTTCACATTTTACATATCAAATTACTTTTTCTCTTATACTTATTTATTCAACTATAAAAAATAAAAATTATTTCAAACTCCAAACTATTTTCAAAATATACAATCAAATAAATTTTTAAATTTTACAAACTCTTTCTGAAAAATTGTTTTTCAAAATTATTTCACAAATACAAGCTAAATATGGCCTATAAAATCTTTAAAAAGTGATCTCGAGAGCAGTAAGTCCAATTATTCGTGTGATAGGGTTAGTTCAAAATGTGACTTGACTTTTTAGTTTTTTAATTATTTTTAACTTGGGCTATAAAATCTCATTTGGGATGGAATTTTTAATTCTTTTTATTTTTGTGAGAGAAAAAATAAAATGATTATAATTTAAATATAATATTTTATTTTATTAATTTTTTAACTTATTTTATTTTTTTCTAACTATTTTAACCACGTAACCTCTTCCCAGACGAGTGCACAATTACATGATGTGGAACTTTCCATTTACAATGTGAGATATCTATTTTCATTTTGTGTTTGTTCTTCATATTCTTATTATTATCTAAAAAATGAGTTGTATAATATAGATTTAATTTTGATTCATAAATATGTGTTTTTTTTAGTATTTTTCTAAATTTATAGTATTACTATATATATATATATATAAACAAGTGGGGTGATGATGATGGTTTAATTTGGAGAAAATCAATGATCATTTAGAATAAAATCAAATTATGAAAATCTTAAAATTATATCAAATCAAATCATTAAAATGTAATTTGGTTTGATTTAAAATTTTAATTTTTAAATTTTTTGTTATCATTCACAAAGTGCTTAAAAAATATTGCTCACACTCTATTCAAAAGTACAATGCAATGCAATATTGTCTTTATCGTGCCCTCCACCAATGAAAAATCACATCACATAAGTGAGTCACTCCTTTATCTCTCAACTAGCTAACAAGATGGGTCAATATTGTTCTACTCGTAAATTCTTTTACTATACTTTCATTGAAAACATAATGTGAATAATATATCACATAGTATTCCGAAACCACCCAATATTTAACTAACTCATTTGTTATTTACAAAGCGGGAGATTATTTTGTGGTCATAGAGTAGTGCTCAACACCATGGTAGAGACAGAATTAGAAGAAGATAATAGAGGTCATGGGCCTCCTATTTCTGTGAAGAATGTTGTTTGTCTTATACTTCCATTATCTTTTTATTTTTAATTTTTATGTTTGTATACGTGTATACTTCTATATATGGTGCTTTTTTTTTCAATTCAAATTTTAGTTCTTCTATTGATAAAATGCTGATTTCATCCTTAATTATTTGACACGTGTTCAATTGTCTTGAGGCTCATAATGTGGAAAAAAAAAAAACTGAAAACTCAAAACGGAAACACATTTTTTGTGTTTTCATTTTTTGGCCAAATTTATAAACTGAGACCACTGATTTATAAATCAAAAATTTTACCAAACAAGTTTTTATTTGAGTTTTTAAAATTTTTGTAAATATAAACAGAAAACAGAAAATGTAAGTGTTACCAAACGGCACCTAAAACATTCAAATTTATTTCTTAAAAAATGTGTACCATACAAAGTAGTTGTAAAGGCTCGTGGTCATACTTATGAGTAATAGTGATCAGATTTGTGATGAATTTGATACGAGCCTATATGGTGATTGGTTATGAGTCCAAATAGTATTGATTATAAGACTTATGACTTAAATTAGTAAAAGTTATAAAATATTTTCTACATGGTAACACTTTTCTACATTGTAAAAAACTATATATAAAATACATTTTTTTAGTAGTGTGCATGTGATAATTAAATATTAGATAAATATGATGCAACAATTTAATTTTAAGAGAAACTCGGTCTGGATGGGCCCATATGGACTGGATTGCAAGGTTGATGGGCCAATATAGGCCCATATTACAGTTAATTCTTGATAGGCTTAAATAGGCCGAAATCGTAAATTGTTGGGAGTGAGATTTTTAACCCAACTGGTCATCTCAACTTTATTAAATTTGTAAACCATTTATTAGCCCTCTTTGGTAGGACTTATTTCCAGTTTATTTCAGTTTTTAGTTTAATTTAAGTTATTTTGATATGTTTGGTTCAGCTTAACAATCCAGTTTATAGTTTTTTGTAAGCCAAAAATAACTTATTCTTTGAGTGGGGGAGGAGAAACTTAATTTATAAGTAAAAAATTAACTTATGTTCACAGCTATAAGCTATAAGCTGTTAGGCTATAAATTATAATCACTTTCCCACAGTTCTACCAAACAGAGCCATTATACATGACGAAATTTCAATGGATAAGAGGATGCCACGTATCCTGCAAAAAATTGCAGATTTATGGTGCCAACAATAATTATTTTACTTTTTTTTTTTGTTACAGGGAAATCCTCCCACCCTCTCGCAGGTCCAAGGCAGCGCCCCATGAGGAGATCACCAGGGTGTCCTGTTGTCCGTTCCGAGTAATATCAACAAAAACAATCATTCATGATCATCATCAAAACACATACTAAAAATTAATTTGGTAAAAAAAAAAAAAATAAAAAAAAAATATCATTTTTATATAATTTTATCTTTGATGAGTAGAAATAATTTTTAAAAATTTAATAAGAATTTTTTTAATTTTGTCAAACTAGTTTATATTTTATCAAATTGACGACTTTACCTTTGAAATAGAGCAACAACATTTTTAATTGTCTTTATTTGGAACAAAATTTAAAATTCAAGATCAAATGTATAAGAATTAAAAAGTCAGAGACCAAAGTAACACAACTCTCAAACTACAGGGACCATTAACATAATTTACCATTTCAAACTCATTCTCATTATTCATTTTTTTAAAGACAAATATGATAAAATTATATGGTTATAATTATAGGATGAATCTTTTTTTTTTTAAAATTATAAATAATCTATACATAAGAACCTAAAAAATGAACAATTTAAATTACTAAAAAGGGGTGGTGATGAACGATTTTATTATGGTTCCGATTGGTAGCTCGAATAACACGGCTCGAAATCTGGCTCGACACCAAAACGACGTCGTTTTGGTGTCGAGTTTTTTTTTGTCGTTTTGGTGTCGAAATTTTTTTTTTTTTTTCTTTCTTCCCTGGTTTTGTTACAGAACGAAGAAGAAGAAGAAGAAGAAGGGAGGAGGAGGGAGGGGAGGAGGAGGAGGAGGGAGGGGAGGGGGCCATAAAAACCGGTTGGAGGAGGAGGGAAGGCTGGGCAGATAACGGTGGTGCTGCGACGTCGGCAGGGCTGGGCAGACGACCGGGGCTGGGCGAGGCGACGGTCTGCTGCGACGATCGGCGACGACCCACAGCGACGAGCCCTCTCCTCTCTCTTTCTCCCTCTCTCCTCTTCCCTCTCTTTCTCCCCTCTTCTTCCATTTTCGAGCCATTTCGAGCTCAACCCTTTCGAGCTACGAGACATTTTCGATTATATTTATTGTAGGTATGTTCACATTTCATTAATTTTAAATTTACAGTATATTCTTCACTTTCAGATTGAATTTTAGAATACTTTTTCATGATTCCTACTGAGAGGGTAATTTTTGGGAAAAACTGGGCCGAGCTGCGAGTTGGGCTTTAAGGCCCAGAAAAGCGAAGGACTAAGTAAAAAAGGCCGTAATGGTTACTCCGGTCTAGGAGAGACAGAGTTACTCCGGCCCAAAGGAGGTGGAATTACTTCGGCTTACGAAGTAATAGAGTTACTTCGGCTAGAGGATTGTAAAGTACTTCGGTTTGGGGAGCAACTTGGAGTTAGACCGGCCTTAGAGGCATACCGGTTTGAGAGTTATGCCGGTCGAGCCAGTGGTTCGGTCCGAACATACCACAGTTCAGGTATTAGAGAACCGAGATATGATAGCATGAAGAAGAACCGAACAACTGTTAGTACGGCCTACTTGGTGGCTCGGCATAGCCATTTTTACTTCGGTCAAATAGAAGTTCGGCCATAAAGAGAACCATCCCACTTGGTTTAAGCAGTGGGGGAGGGTGTGAAAGGATAAGCATTATCCTTAGGAGAACGAATCCTAGGAGGACTCTGCAAGGAGAAGTACAAGTCCTACTAGGATTGTGCCACGGGAAACTTATAAAAGCTCACAAGCATCACCTTGGAGGAGGTAATTGAACACAATCTTTCTGAGAACTTAGAGCTTTGTCTATTTGTCAAGTTTTCTGACTTAGGCATCGGAGAGGTTTCCGGCACACACCCGCCGGCCAGCTCACGACTGCCAAATCAAGGCTTCCACTCTTGGAATACAAATCTACAAGAGCATTATTCACCACCACATCCACAATCAGATTGGTTTTGTTCACGTAACCATGTATTGACATGCCAAGATCAAAAGCTCCAATATCAGCACAACCCGAGAGGACAGCAACAATTGTAACAGCAGTTGGGTAATCTTCTTCGCCATCTGCTCTCATCATCTCCCGAAACAATTCCAGTGCCCGAATTGGGGAGTCCCCATTGACGTAGCCCACAATCATAGCAGTCCAAGAAATAACATTCCTATGCGGCATTATATCAAACAAGTGGCGAGCATGTTCAAGATCGTTGCACTTGACATAACCACTAAGCAGGCTGGTCCAAGAAGCAACATCTTTGATTTCCATTGCTTCAAACACCGTTTGAGCTGATTGAATTCGCTTGTTTCGGCTGTACATGTCGATCAGGGCATTACCCAAAATGGGTGGTTCAGACCCACCCCAGAATTCAAACCTGAAGGCCATGGCATGAACTATCTTGCCACTGTTGAGGTCTCCCATACGGCCACAAGCGGAGAGAGCAGCGACCATGGAAAAGCCATCAGGTTTGAGACCAGAGAGGACCAAATGGGAGAAGACAGAGAAGGCATTGGTGGGAAGTTGAAGGTGGAGGTAGATGGAGATGAGGCAAGTCAAGGACACAACGTCTGGATTTTGAATGTGAGAGAAGACAGTGTGGGCTAGGAGTGGTTGGCCTAGTTTTAAGTAGGAGTTGAGCAATTTGCAGGTGAAGTGTTGGTGGTGATTGTAGATGCCGAGTATGATGGATTGGCCATGGATTTGCTTCAGCTTCAACAGGCTTTGACAAGATTTATGTAGTACATGTCCCAAGCTTTTATGGTTCATTGTTTGTCGTCTCTGTTACATTGCTTGTGTTGTGAGCATCATCAGCATGGCCATGGTGTCCTTTAGATATCCAACATATCTAGCTCATTTTCAGCTTAGGCACACAATTTTTGCGAGTTGAATTTAGCCTGTGTTTGGCGAGGGTTTTTTCAGGTTTTTTTTGATTATTTTAGCCACAAAAAATAAAATAGGCTATTTTAGCCATAACAAACAAAACATCACATTCAACCTATAATCATTACATTTTTCTCTCACAAAAAAGTCAAAAAAGCCAAAAAGCCAAAAAGCC